ACATATGGGCGATGTTCGTAATGGTGGCTGATTTCAGAGACATTAGATGCGAAACAAAGAAGAAAATAATTGTGAGGGGAGCCAAAGCTGATTGATGAAGCAAAACACGGGGAGACAAAATGGAAAATGGGAGAGGCAAGAAGGGAAGGAGGAAGGGGAGAAGAAAGTAGTGAAAGATGGACCAAGAGAATGAAGGAAAATCTCATCTCCTTGTGGAATAATCCGCCATTTATCACACTGATGGTAAGGAACAGGAAGGGAATGCTTCAGAAACGATCTCACAGCTTCTGTGATAAGTTTCTGTAAGTATCCGCTCACACTCCTGTTGTGGTAGCTGCATATATACTATAGTGTCTAGACAGCCAGGATATAGCATAAATTATGCATGCAGGTTTTGCTCTGAACTAACAGATATATTAATATTATTACATGTGTGGCGATATATAGAAGGGTGGACCGCTCAGCAGATTGGGCTAATGCGTCAATACGCATACACATTCACATCAGGCCATACACACTCACATGCACGCGCACAAGCCTTGCACCTTGCAAATAAATGTGCATGTACACACACTGCCACCCTCCAAATATGGCTAAGCTTCCTTTTTCATTTCAGCAGAGAAGATTGCATTTTCTGAAGCAGTGTGTGTGCGCGTGTGTATTTCTGTGTCAGGTGTGTGGGTGTGTGTGTGTGTATGTGTGTGTGTGTTGGGGGGAGCACATTAAGTGATTCAAATGCTGTCTCTCTTGCACTCCTCCAGTGAAGAGACCCAGAACTCCAGCCTGACCATATAAATATATATTTATATAGCCAGGGTCAGTTTGTTGTTTAGGACAGGCCAATTTAAAAGCACACTGCCAATTAAATAACAGGCAGCACAGCTTCAGCCTGGACAATGTTGCAGTGCAGCATACACAGAACAGATAGGGTGAGTGTGTGTGCGTGCACTGTGCGTTTATCTGCTCTGAGCAAATTGCTTGCTTTTTAAGACCTTGCAGAACAAAGAAAAGAGATACTCCTTTTTTCAAAATGTCTGCAACTATTTTTGTTACCTTTCCGCAAAAGAAGACTGTAGCAATTTCACTAAACATTACCAACCAAAGCACAACTTCTCTCAGGATTAATACATTCTGTTTCCCTTAAAGGAGTGATCAAAAACTAACAAAGCCTAAGGACACAAGATAATGGTGAAGACAAAGCTTAGTGCTGATAGAAAACTGGCCCAGAAGGCAAAACATCCTGAAAGAAAAAGATTGTGTGCAAATTTCAGCCTTCAGTTGACATAAATGGACTTTAGGATTTGATTCTAGACTTCAGTATTTACCAGAATCTGTGTTCTTGTATGTCACTAGAACCATTTCACAGTCTAAATCAGTGAGTACAGAAAAAAAAACCTGATTGGGTAATTTCCACACATCTCTGACATAGTCCTACTCAACAGAAATCCAAATTATGTGAGTTGAATTCAAAGTACATTTAAAGAGATGGTTCCAGAGGTACATTGTTGGCAACATTTATTGATATCCCTGGTAATAACATGTAAAAACTTTAAAGTAAAATATTACTTTATAACAGTACAATAATCCCACCCTTAAAAATTGGATTTGATTGAATTCTTAATGATGAGTGGAATTACTAAAAAAAGCTAAAACATCAGGTTCATCCTACAAGATTCTTAGTGCTGTGCAATATTCAGTGTGTTTAGCTGCAATCATGCTAGGAACCTAATAATATAACTATAATAGTGTGGTAAAAATAATTTTCAACAGGACTGTAAATTACAAGAAATGAAACTCAGGTCATCAGCAAAAACATAAGGGTTTTTATCCTGTTGACAGCACCAGAACAATATCTCTATCACGTTAGCCTAAAACTGGCCTAAGGGGAAGAAAGCATTAGTAAACAATATGGTGGATATTCGTTACAACCTCATGATATTATGCACCAGTGAACTAATGGACACTTTGTAAGCTATTGAGCCATGCTGAGAGCAGTAAATGAAAACATACACACACTCAGGGTTTAACTATAAAGAGCGCTATGGATTAAGAGGTCTGTGACAGTATTACTGGTGTTTGTTCTTTAGAGCTGGTGAATGTTGTGTGAAGAGTCATTTGTTTTCTCATTAAGCCGGTATGTAACCTTGCAGCTGATTCAACAAGGTTAAAGCATGTTGCATCGATTACAGTCTTTTTTAAATTACTTGAGGCTTTACACTTCAGACACATCTGAAGATACATCTCTGATTTTGTTTCAGTGCTAATCCAGAAACGGAAGAAAAATGCAAATATGAGCTCCAAAGTATTTGAAGTTGGTAAATCTAACCCTTTAGAAAATGCCTGGCTCCTGGTGTGCCAAATGCTATCTTACAATAACACCAGGTGCTCAGCCATAGAGCTTTAAGTAGTGAAAATGTTTCCTTGTTTAAATATCTTGGTATTCAATGATAGTTTCACTTGTAATCTTTTAAAAAGTTTGGTTATTATATTTGTTTACAAAATTGCATATGTTTTTTGCTTGGAAAACATACAGCCAGAGCTTGTTATCATTGTCATATTCTTTTAAAAAATATTTTAAAAAACTGGTAACAGTATATAATGCTGCTCTGTGTTTTGTTAAAAGGCCAAAAGCAAATTTTATGAGCTGGTCAATTGGACCAAAAGAAATCAGAAAAAATTTCAACGTTTAGATACATTTGGCATTATTTCTAAAGAGTCTTTAGAGTCTAAAACATTTAATGAAAAAAAACATAAAAGAAATTGTGATTCTGACAATAATATTCTTGGCAGTGTAAACTATCGCAAAGAAAAACATGTTTAGTTATTCTTGCTTTAAAGTGGCTTCAGAGCAATTATGTCAAGAATCAATCAATCGGTTACGGATGTTTTAATGTGTCCTTTAATACGGATTAATTCCATGCTTGCTTAACTTGTGTGTCAAGAAGAAATTCAAAGATGAAAGGTGAAATATGTCTTAGGAGACTGAAACTAAGCTAAAAAATAAAAGATTAAAAAGCTTGAGTTGGAGCCTAAACAATGTTTTGACTAAGGATTGTTCTTATGCATTCTGGCAAAAAGACCTCAGCTGATGCTTGGTATTATATTTGAAAGTGAAGGAGCACTGATTGATTTGAAAATACCTCGATTAGTTTAATATTAGTCTCTGAGCGAAGTTACACTGGATCGCTGACCTCATCTATCTGGGAGCAAACGATAAATCCATGACTACGTCTTTGTTTTTCTGATGGACTTTGGTGGCTGTACAATTGTCAACTCAAACAGTTGATCTAAATATGTATGTATTCTGAATCACTGTGGTTCAACAGTAATTAAGGTATATTATTGTCAATGTATCTGTATTTCATTGAAATGAATAAAGATACTTTGTACTAATGAAAATTCCAGTAATTAATAAAAGATTTATGCTACAGTGCCTTGTAAAAGTTTAATGTCAATTATTAATATATCTTAAACTTTACTAGATGTACTAAGTTCAGTTCAAATAAGTACGGGTGATTTCTGAAGGCAATTAACTTAATTTTATTTAGTGGTATCAGATTAAAACTGTCTAAATATGCACACCACACTTTTCAGATTTCTATTGTAAACATTTTTGAATGTCATCTTTCAATTTCATTTAACTTCACAGTCAGGCTTTATTTTGTGTTTTTCCATCTGGGTCAGATAAGACAAGTATTAGTGGTCGTAGCATGATAGAGGAAGAATATAAAAAAAAATTAAATACTTTTGCAAAGCACTGTATGTGAAGAGATTAGATTTTAAATCAGAATTTTTGGATGTTCAGCAACAATACATAGCATGACACAAAAAGCTGAATTTAAAAGTCATACTAACAGTAAAAAATTGTTTGACATAAACTTGGCTGCAACTCACTTTGAATGATTGTAGCAGTAGGATCAAAGAAATTCATCTGTCCTTGACTTGCTGTGAAGGAATAATGTGTGAATTGATATCCTTCGATGTCCAAATAATAAAGGACATAACAGCTCTAACAAACAAATATGCAGCTATACGAGTGACTATAACCAGGCAACACTGAATTTGATCAGAGTTGCTGAAATCAAAAGTGAAGAATTTTATTTTTCATCTTCTTTACACCAGATAAAAGGCATGATTTTTTTATGATTGTAATTTATTCATAAATGGTAGTTGTTGCAGACATTGTTGTTTCACTGAGTGCTGTCTCAGAGGGTTACTATTGCTGTCTCTCAACAAACGGGTTGCTTGGATGGCTTTTCTCCAGGTATTTTGGCTTCCTCTTACAGTTTTCTACATCTTTGTTGCCCTGTAATGGAGAGTGGCTTGTGTATACGCTACCGTGTTAATGGCAGAAAAACAAATCACTGTTCTCTTAACTAGCCTAATATTCATGACAGGCTCCATTGTCAAGAACTAGAGTTAGTATAGCAGAGAGCAAGGGGGCAGGGTGTGAGCAGTGCATACACAAAAGTGATTGGCAGCGCTAAGACCTTCCTCCTGCCTCTGATTGGTTGTTTCTGACCAAACGGTGCATTTCTGCCAATGTCAGCAGAACCACAGGGAGGAGTTAAATTTTTCACAGATTAAGTGTCAGATTAAGTGGCATGTTATGCTGCCATGGTAGTAACAGTTTAACAAATATGTATGAAACATATACTTTTTATGAAAGTCACATACTGTGGTTTTAACAGTATGTTGCCTCTCTCTGTTGCCCTAATCAACTGAGAGAAGCCTCTGCGAGTGAAAAATTATCTGGTTAACACATAATATGACACAGAAAGAACTGAGGATGTAGACACTGAGGATTTGAGTGAGCACTGTGCTCAACCAAAACACTTCTTCAGGAGAATCATTGGGTCATAACAATATTCTGATTTGGAGACATTGCTAGAATTACAGTGAAATCTCCTGAACCAGAACTTCTTATACATTGACTCTTAATACATTACACAGGATGTGAATAATGAACAAGGACAGACATATTCAGGCGGCAGGCTCACGCTTGTGGTTGCTCTTGCGTTGAAAGGGAAGTGTGTGTCGCTCTGAATCCTCTTCACCCTCCTCATCCGCCAGGTGTGTATGAGTGTAATGGTAGCTCAGCCCAGGACGGTTTTTATATCGCTTGCCACAGACTGCAACACACCCATATAATTTGTGTCAGCTTTGTTTTGAATAATGTTAAAGTTAAAGAAACCATGCATTTTCAAAGACGTTATTTTTAAGACATAAGAAAGTCTTCATAATGGTCAAAGTTAATATTTTTTAATACTTAGTATGCATCAATGTAGCCACAGACAGATGTGAAGCGTGATCAGCAGAGTTGATTTTGCAACAAAAAAGAAAATGACAATACAAGGATTTTGCCCGAAAGCAAGAATATGTATGATGACATTCTTTCAAAACAAGGGGTGGAAGGAGAACTCAGGCTACAAAATCTTCCAATATACAGTATAGTAATTCACACCAAAGAGAAGTTTTTCTCATAAAAACCCTATGCCCTAAGCTCAAGTTATAATAAAGGATTTAAATTGAAATCCTTTGAGCTTGACAACCTGTTGTATTCTTTTACAACAGGTATAAAAATACTTGTATAAAACAACAGGTCTGTTGTATCTGTGTTAGACATTCTCATTTTGAGGTGAGAAAGAAGGAAGTTCTTGAGAGTTGCAGTGTTGTGTTGACACACTCCGCTGGTAAAGAGTTCTGGCATATTGGCCAACGTCACTCATTTACATTGTCATTAAAGAAACCTCAGCATTTTTAATATTTCATAAAAAAATATACGTCCCCAGAGCGACAAGTGAGATACAAATGATTTGCAAATGAATCTATCAACCACATTGTGAGCGATGAAGACAAAAATGGGAATTATGTTTCCTAAAAATAAGCTTAAATTTAATCTTGTATCACGAGCAAGATATGTTCTTACACCCCTAAAAATGTTAAAAAATAAATGAATAAATAATAATAATAATAATAATGACCATATTTACGAAGTTAATCAGGATTCATTGGCTCCCTGTTAAATTCAGAATAGAGTTTAAGATTCTCATTGTCACATGTAATAATCAGCTCCATCATACATCAGAGATCTGATTGTTCCATATGATCCTAACAGAGCACTCTGCACTCTACCTGTAGATTTACTGATGGTTCCTAGAGTTTCTCAAAGTCCACTGGGATGTAGATCCTCCTCTCCCATGGAATCAGCTCCCAATTTAAGTGCTTGAGACTAGCCTTAAAACTTTTCCTTTTGGTAAAGATTATATCAATGTTTATCCAGAGGTGAGGTAGAGCTTTTGGTCAATTCCGACAGGAGAGAATCCGATCTTTTAAGGCAGTCCTCTATGGCTCTCTCATGCCTCATTCACACCGATAATTATCTTGAACTATATCTGTAGTTATGCTGCTGGCCACTTTTCCTCACTTTCTTCTTCTCTCCAATTTGCATTATTCAATGTTATTGCAATTGCTAAATTGTTGTTTTCTCTGTTATTTTTCTCTCCACCTGGTCTGGTATCCTGTTTGGCGGTGGTGCCTTCCTGGAGGAGAGCTTAGGTTGAGATAATGCTGTCAACAACTGTACATCCTTCCTTTCCTGCTATTAACTTTTAATATTACATTAACATAGAAAGTACTTCTATATCATTTTTTCTGTTTCTTTCTTCTCAAACCCCTGTGTCAAACGTCCTCTTGTACTGAGCCCGGTTCTGCTGGAGGTTTCTTCCTGTTAAAGGGTAGTATTTCCTCTCCACTGTCACTACATGCATGCTCAGTATGAGAGGTTCCTCTAAATTCAACCTAACATAAGAAATTGTCTGCTGTCACTACTTGCTCATGGAGAAGGAGCGAACGCTGCAAGTCAATGACTTGATCCAATGTACTGTATTTCCTTAAGTAAAACTTTTTAAATTAGATTAATAAACTAATCTTCATGCACTGTTTGATGACTAGGACAAACCAGAATGCATGTGTGATTGAACTGAAGAGCCTCAAGATGAGATTTGTTGTGAATTGGCATTATGTAAATCAACTGAATTGAACAAAAGACCCAACGCTCACTGTCACAGACGTAAGGCTTATCTCTGTCTTCAATGGCAGGCAGCTCTTGTCTTTTCCTCATTCCTCCAACACCATAAGCCTGTAAATAAACACCCACACAAACACACATGTAAGAAATCTCATGCAAACACATGCAAAGGTAGACACAAAAATGTTTGAACTTCCACACTCTTCACATGTGGCTTGTAAGAATAAAACAAAAATATAGAAAGAACATAACAGCACAATGCTCACAAGTGTGTTCACGTGTCTCTACACACAAACACACACACACGTGCACGTTTGGATTCTAATCATCTGCTCTCAGTGCAAAGCTACACTTCCAGCAGGAGGGGGCTGATGACACCTAGCAGGGGAGCAACAGTTCCAATTAGCAACCCTGGTGTCTGTGTGTGTGTCAGAGAGAGAAACAGAGTCTGTGTGTATGTGCTGCATGTATGTGGGATGATTTTCAGAATACATTGTTAACACTTGATTATCCTCCCATAGGATGCGCAAACAGAGTGGGAAAATAAGACCTCCGCGCTCTAATCAAAGTTGTAAAAAATAGAAGAAAAAAAAAAGAGGTCATTCCAGTGTGATTTAATCTCTAGATCTGTTTGCTTTTAATCGGGCCAAGTCCTGCGTTGTACAAGGAAATCTCATTACATTAGTGTGGTATGCAGAGGACTGACAAATGATTACATGTCACACTGTGAGAAGGAAGACTCCAATGTATTCTAGTTTAGAGTCTGGAAACACAGAGGTCACTGTTTGTCTCATCACTTTCTAACTCTGAGCTCTGGCTGGCCTATTTCTCTTATGTTGACCTCACTTTTTCACACAGACAACCAACCAGGCACTCTGTAATCACATGAAAACTGATCATCATGTGAAAACATGGAAAAAAACTGAAATGTCATTGCTGTCCTACCCGTGCTTTGGTACGGTTCTTGCGCTTCGGTACGTCTTCCTCCATGTCGTCCACCTCCAGCTCATGAGGAAAATCCCCAACAAGCAGCTTCTATAAAATGAGAGAAAGGTGGACTATCAGAAAGGACTCTTATCCTCGCTGTAACAACAGAGCTGCAGCACAGGTCAGATCAACCTACACAGGACAAAGAAATGACAAACTGTAATTTACTGCTTTACTGCAATTGAACTGCTGCCTCCTTTCTACAGCAGATATGCAGCATTCAAATCTGCCTTAAAATATATGATTATTTTATCATAGAGGTATATTCTCACACTGGAATTTTTTTTTTTAAAAAGCACACATTTTATTATTTGTATGTTGAAAAATGCCTTTAAAATAAATGTACTAGAAACATTTTTTTTCCAATTTGTATTACTTCCATTTACTTTTTAAACTTGATTTAAGATTTTAGAAATTTCTAATTAGTAATTATAATTTCCGGCTTCAATGGGATATAAATATGACATGAAACTTTGGTCCATTTCTTTTAGCCGCTGGCAATTCTTCTGGCAGAGCTCCCTGATTTATCATGTACAAGATGGTAAGGAAGGTAATTTTTATTTATTTATTTTTTTAAGTCTCCAACGCTCACTGAAATAGATCTGCAGTAGAAAGAGGTTCATTTAAGTCCCCCAATCCAGATGCCAGAAAATTTACTACACATTTTACTACACGCCACTGGGACTTCAACTGGAACCATGCAATTTGATTAGATGAGACTATAAGATAATTTTTTGGGTAAAAAAAAAAATATTTCACTTTGGTCAAAAACTACAGAACAAATATGTGGATCTATGATGCTGTTGTCCTGTGTATACACAAGTTGCTACAATCGTAGCAGTCGCACAGGCACACCCACTAGAAGGAAACAAACACCCCCAGTATAACACTTTCATTCTATTGGCTGAGAGGTTGCCAGGCGACTGTACTTTTTTTGTTCCAAGCGCTAGCAGAAAATAATTTGCAAGCGAAGCAGCGGCAAGTGGAGATTTGCTCTGAGCAAAGACAAGTTTTGAGAGTAAGAAGAAAAGTTTGAGAAATCACAGTGGATATTAGAAAGAGAGCAGAAGTTTTGAGTACAAGCATTACAAGTTTTGAGAAGACACGAAGTCCTGCTTTCAAGCTGAAAATGTCCGCTCAAGTATTAAAAGTTTTGAGTACAAAAGACATGAAATTCTTTCAGAATGAAAATGTGTGCTCTCAAATTATGGTGGAAAAATCCCCCCATATTTCTGTTCAGAAACTGATAAGGACACCATTAAGTCTCCCAACAAGAAACTCAGTCTCCTTGGTGTGAAAAAAGATGAATATGAGGGAAAGAACCTCACGTCTATTATGAAGCATAGTGGAGAATCTGTAATGCTGTGGGCGTGTTTCTCTTCGGAAAACATGCCCACATTAAAGATGCATTAAAGATTCCATCGTTAATGGCTTCTTTAAAGATGGCAACATTAACTGTTTGAAATACCAGGATATTGGGCCTTTCATCATGAGTGATTTAAACATGGCAAATTCAACACAAAATTGCTTCAACAGACAAAAAAATCTTTCATTGTTAGAATATTTACCAACGTGCATTCTGTGGCTTATTGTTTCCTCGCTGCTTATCTTTAGTTTTTTTAATCATGTTTATTTATAAAGCTCCTTCCATTCTCATGTTTTGGTGTTTATTAACATCAAAACGGAAGTCTGCTTCAGCTTTTTTCACTGAGTTTGTTCTTTTTTAATTTTAATATTGCATGTAGCTGCCTGATGATTAAGAAAAAAATGAGGTGCAAATGAAATGTTTTGAGACACTAATATTAATGCACTATAAAATGTGATTTTTTTTTTCAAACTATTGTTGAGATAAGCAGCTGATTGCTGAGAGAGGAAAGTACAGATATTAATTATAACTTAACAATTTCACCAACTTCAGGTAAAAAAAAAAACATTCTCAACTTTCTCTTTTCTATAACTATTTCAATGTTTAGATGGAAGGCAGTGGCATGTTGCTGAATGGAAAACATTCGGGGTAAACCACTGGTTCTGTAATTTGGCTTCACTTCAATGAACTAGAGCCAGCTGGTGCTGGGAGCTCACCTTGACCCTAGTTTCTCAAAACGCTTCCTGCAGTTAAACTGGGGAACTTAAAAACAAGTTTAAGCACAGAAGCACTAACTATAACATCATGAAAACGAGAGGTAACACCTTCTCTCATGTATAATATTTGCTGTTGTGTGCCCTCTGAGTTAAATGAACTCAGAATTAGGTTGCAGATTATCTAGTATAAAATCAGGGTAGTTGCTCCATAAAAAGAAGGATAAAACCAAGCTCCAGATGCAGACACATCCTGTTTTAGGTCAAGTTCCAAAAACACGGGTTCTTACGCCTGCTGTAAAAGAAATTGATGGCCTCTTTTATCAGACTCCTGTGCGTCCTAAATATCCACCGTCTGTGTAGGGCCCATTCCATGAATAATCCTAGTATTGGGTGTAAAAATAGTTGAGTGACCCTTCTCAGATGTGTAATTTTTGTCACCACTTTGGATCAGAGACCTTAAACACAGATCTAACACTCAAAGGGGCAATGCAAGCTTTTATCTCTAAAGTCCTAATCAATTAGTCATTCATCTGAGCTACTTTGTAAGGCAAATGGGGAATATTCTAGAGTTTTTTTCTAGGTATAAACAAATAGATTTTTTTTAATGGGTGTTTTGTCCGGAGATTTTCAGACTTCTAACCAAGTGGAAGTCTGAAGCACGTGTCTGCGCACAGAGAGCCTGCAGGGAGCGATCAGAGCCACAGGAGACTGTGTCAGCACCAGAACACATTCTCCAGGAAACAAAGGCAATGACAGACAAAGACGCACAAACATAGGCAGATAAAAAGACAGAGATGCTGTACTATCAGAAACAACACAGTAAAACACGAAGACAAAACAGAAAAGGAGAAAAATTTGAAAAAGGAAGGAAAAGGACGCAGAGCCCCACCTGACATTCACTCATTGGCTCCTCTTCCTTGGTCTCCACCTTCTTGTCCAGCGTCTCCCCAGCAAGCAGCGACTCGAGGACAGGGCCGTCTGGGATGCCCCCCTCCTTCTTTAGAGAGGTCTCATAATCTGGACATTTATAAGACAATCAATGTCAGTTGGCAGATTTCAAATAAAAGTGGATATGAATAGGTGAACTGATGGAAACTGGAGTTTGTTGGTTCAGGAAACAAGGAACGTTACTTTTACACTATACAGGCATTAAAAACAATCAACTAGATTCAGAACTTATAAAGGCAGTTTGTGGATTCTCTACTAGAAAAATGTCAGGTCCTTCTCAAAAACAGGCAGCAGATTAATAAATAAGTAAATAAATTACAATGTAAAGCAGGATCACATTTTGTAATATCAATGCATTTTATTGTGATTTTTCCATGACTAAAACAAAGTCATGCAAGATCGTGAAGTGAAAAAAAAATGAATACATGATTTTCAAATATTTTAATTCTTAAAAAGCTAAAAAGTGTGACTTGTAATGTTGCCCTCTGTGAACAGCAACTGAGATTAAGTTAAAGACAAGTGGAATTGGAGTTTCCACTTGTTTCCACTTAGCAGGAGCAGATAGTTAAACTCCAATTTTATGTTTTATTTGGGCATTTGTTGAAAACCATGTAACAACATCTAATTGTGGTGTTCTATCACATAGAATCCCAATAAAACATAAAGTTGTCTGTGGTTGCAATATGACAAAGAGTGTAAAAGTAAAAGACTGTAAAAGTAAAGGCAAGTCATGATATATAGCAAAGAGGTATATGAGGGTGATTTATTTATTTTTTGGTTAGTGTAATAAATCCTGAAAATGTGCTGTCCTGTCTCTTACTCACCAATTTTGAATTCGATGGGTAGAAGCCGTGGGTCCTCCAAGATGTTTAGCCGTCTCTTCTTGCGCCAGCAGCGAGCAGGATACGTGTACAGTTGACCTGGAGCATGACCTGAAACACAGTATGTTTCACAGCAGGTTTGAAAAAGATAACATAAAAAACTTCATTTAACTTTTAAAACATTACTTAAATTAAAGTTTAATTGTAAGTGCTAAACTCTCAAAGCACAAGTTTCCAGTGACAGCCAACAAACACATGCACACAAACGTATTCCTCCTAAAAGTAGATGGTGCCAACGGCACGTTATTGCCTACAGGGGTGTCTGAGTCGCTGCCAAAATACATTGACGTTACAGAAAAAGAAGCGCCGAGGAAATACCCTTTGGGGAAAGCTGGAAACTTGCGAGAGGGAGGGAAAAGAGAAAACGTCTTGGAAAACAAAGGAACCAGAGAGAGTGAAGAGAGAGAAATGGGATAAAGATAGAAAAAATTGGGAGACAAATGATTGGAGAGAGTAGCTGTAAACACACCAGGGGTCTACACTCTTGACCAATGTCAAAATAATTGCTAGTTTTGTATTTCCTCTGTTGTTTTTGCAGGCATCTCTCTCTGTTCATTGATTGGTCTGGTCAAAAATCTAAAGGAGGGAATCCAAGTGAATGTGTGAAAGTCCAAACTGTGCTGAAAGTTACTTTTTCTTTTTTTTTTTCTTTTTTCTTTTCTTTGGGGTGGGAGGGATTTTTTTGAGTGGAGTTGCACAGAAAGGCAATGTCCAGGCGACAACTATGTCAAAGCTACACAGAAAATGTATACATTTTTCCATTTCTGATACAAAAAAAAAACAATTCTTTGTCTGTAAATGTGTTGTACCTTCAACTCCTCAATTGGCAGTTTTAGTTTCATCTGGTTGAAATTCACTTTTTCACACCAGACCATAAAGGTTTAGATTTTTCCCCTCCCTTAATAATAAACATATTCATTTAAAAACAGTTTATTGTGTTTTCTTATGTTGACTAAGATTAAAATTTCTTTGATATTCTGAAGGCAATAATGAAGTCACACTTCAATAATGAAGTGTGACAAACATGCAAAAAATAGGAAAGCGGGAAGAGACATAAAAATCAGGATGTTATAGAACTGACAATCAAATTTGTTTGGAGAAAAATAAAACAAAACATAAAGGCTGAAATAAAATAGCAGCATTAAAGGTCCACAGGCCTTTTCAAAGTGCTCTCTTTATTTATATGTCCATATATTTACATCCCTGCAATATATGACCCTTAATAGTATTTAAAATCTAAAGCTGGTATTTATAAAAATGCTTTGGTAAGTTTTTGAGATTTAGGGCAACTTTATTTTGTTAGAATAAATACAAAGACGTCTGGACTGTAAAGGTTGCGAACATCTACACACAGATAATACCTGTAAAGAATAGTGTGGAGGGGCGCACACGCCCCCCCCCCCCCACACACACACACACACACACACACACGCACACACACATGCACACGCACCTGGTCCACGGTGGTTCTTCTCCATCCAGATATAGCAGTTGCTCTGGGCCACGCCGGTCTGCGAGTCCAGGAAGGGAAGCCGCATGGAGCGCTCCGCACACAGGCGGGCATTGTAGCTGCGACAGTGTTCAATGGCCTCCTTATAAAACTCCTCTCCGAGACTGAGAGTCAACACAGAGAGAGGGGGAGAGAGCAAGAGGGAGCCCACAGACAGGCAGCAGCGGAGGAAAAACCAAACAGGGAGAGTTTCATCATGACTTTCAGGAACATGTAGAGGGCATGGTTTTTATATCAGTGTGTGTGTTCAGGCTTCATGTTGCACTTGGGACACATGTGTGTAAGTCAAAAGGGGCAGTGGACACACACAGTATATAAATGTGTGTGTATGTGTTGCTGTGGAGATACCCAGTCCTATCAGCAAATAAGCTGGCATCTGCACTCACATGCTCAACTGTACAGTAAAACAATACTTTCTCGCTTCAGTGCTGTCTGCACTGTATTTTCCTCACCCGCAGAAGTGAGAGTTTGATTAACATTCAGTGTAATATTCACTCCCAACATCCCCTCCCAGCCACCTACCTGTTTTTGATGACTGCACCTCCAGATTGCCTGCAGGGGGAAGCAGAAGAAGAGAAAGAAGAAGAAAAAAAAACAACAGATGTGTGGTGAGTCACTCGTTCACCCCACCTCAATTTTTTCCACATTTTGTTTAGCTTTCCAACACTTCACTTTCACTTTTTTTTCACTCACTGAAATGTCTCTTTCCATGTTTAACTTTCACACTCTCCCTCTCTCTGTACGTCTTTCCTCTTTTTTTCTTTTTTTTTATTTCATTATTCTTCGCACTTCTCTCTCTCGTTTTCTCTCTCCTGTTAATCACTCCTCTCCAGTGTCTTCCTGCTGAGTGCAGACATCAAGGTCACTCAGCGACACAGACTGTAGATACAGGACACACAAAACCACACACACACTGAGTTACAGTGCAGAGCCAACAGCAGCTTCACAAAAATAGTGCAGAGTAGCTGCTGGTAGTGATTTGTTCGATTTTTTTTTTAGCTTTTTTTTTCTATGTGCCATCACCAAAGAACAAGACTGACTGATTTCTACACAAAGAGAGCTTGCTGCAGATGTGGACGTGTGAAAAATCTGATGTCTGACTGTAAAGGGTGTGGTAAAAGTCATAAAAGGAACCAGGATCTTGTTTGTTCAGATGTGTTGAAGCTTAAACGTTTAAAATCCTCAAACATGCTCTGTAAAGGTTTTTGTGGTAGTATCGGCCTTCATAGAGAAGAAATGCGCACAGAGAAAATGGGGAACACATGTTGGGAATCAGACCCCAGATCTGAGTTTATGTCTGACAGCCTCTATTTACGGAGTCCCTGCTTCAACGCTACAGCACACGCTGTCCCTCAAATACATTTTTTTATCTAACAAAGATAACCTGAGTAAATACAAAGAGCCGTTTCCAAATGATGATTTAATTTATTAGGAAGAGAGAAGCTATCCAAAACATGCTGGCTGGCCCCATGTGAAAAAGTAATTGTCCCCTTAATCTAATAACTGGTTGTTGTACCCTTAGCAACAACAACTCACATAAAGGCTAAGCAATAATGGGCTATATTTTGCATCACTGTTGCTAAGCCAGGTTGGTTTTGAAAGCTTAGTCCTCTTACTAAATTAAAACATTATTTCAAAACTACATTTTCTATTTCCTCTGGTTTTCTGTGTCCGATAATTAAATTGCTTTGATATCCTGGAACATTTGAGCACGACAAAATAAACCGAGACAAAGAAATGAGCAAGGGGCAAAACTATTTTTCACGCCATCGTATATATAATCGTGAGGGGAAAATAAACTCAACCAATTTCCATTCTTTAAGGGAGCAAGTCAGAAGAAGGTGTTGTTAATACCAACACACAGCTCAAGGTTATGAAAAGCCTGTAACGGGCCTCTTAATGTTCAGAACATCATCACAAACAAAGTTTCAATGCAGATTTGGTGGAAGCAGACAAGTTTAATTGGCCAAGCTTAAAATCAATCACTAATAGTTGGTTATTATTTACTGGGATGTATTTGTGAATAAACCAAACTAAAACACAAAGTTTGGTTCTAAGCACAACACAACAATCAAACAACAAAGATTACTCTTTGCACTTTTACAACACTTAAATTTAACTTAAACAATTTAAGTTAAATTGTTTAACTTAGATGTTAAACAATTTAAAATTGTTGAATTTATCTATGTTGAAACTGTTAATTCAGACTGAAAATCATTCTCAAAAAACAAACGTTAAAATCCAAGAATTAACCTGCTGTTTAGCTTCTTTGTGTCTTAGACTGACTCTTTTTAACAGTAATATATACACCAAATCAGTGTTAAAAGAATCCAAGAAATATTTATATCTAGTAACAAACAAAGTCTCAGTTCCAGTATCGTTAGATGAACCTTATCAGAGTAACTGTCTGCACTTCATCCTTGGTACTTGTCATCTACCTACTCTGAGTTTTACATCATCTGCACCACAGAAGCTGCTAAAATTCACACCCCTGACCTGACAAATAGGAATTTAAAGTTATTTTTATTAAACAAAGAAGTTTATTTCTGCAAACAAATGAAACATTTCCCAAAAGATAGTAAAATAATGTACAAGGTGTATAACTCTGGTACTGAAAAATATCTGCATTATAGCTAAATATAAAATAAAATAAAAAATATTTTTTATTATTATTATTATTATTATTATTATTATTATTATTATTATTATTATTATTATTATTATTATACAGAGATTATTAAATATCTAGGCTGGTACTTGTCTCAGTATCAAAAATATTTTTGGCCCTGAAGCAACAAGAAACTATACTAATGTATTATATAATATTGTTAATTTATTTATTGATTGAAATCTAATATTCTCCCTTCTAGCCCAAAGCCCCAAATTTTTGCAAAATTACACAGAAATGCATTAAATATTTTTAGATCTTCCCTAATTAACAGATAAAAAGCAACTCAAAACCAACTCAGAGACTTACAAAGTCTCACTGGCACAGATCATTATTTCAGTCTGATTCAGTTTAGTGCCACGCTGCAAACCAGAGCATATAATTACAACCAGTAAGGAACAAATACTAAACTGACAAACAAAAACATTTTTAAAAAATCATTAAGAAAGCTTGTGACACTGTTGAATAAAATCAGCAGTCCTGGGTGTAAGTATAACTCAAGCCGTCAAACAGAACAGATGCTGTTGCGGCCTGACAGGCTGAGCAGGGCAACATCAAAATCTCAAGAACCAGATCTGCAACCTCGCAGGTCATCACTGACCACACGCAGTAAAGGATGTGACAGAACCTCAATATGTTGAGCTGAGGTCCACTAAGGGGCCACAGCACCTTTTTCTGAGGTGAATGTTCTTTTTGACAAAAATGTTACCACTCAGCTCTCAGAAATGAACTTCAAGCATCACATTTTTTTTGGCCACGTGGGAGGCCCATAACAGAATCGTTTCTGTTATAAGAGCTGAGGCACCAGGGTTGTTTTTTCCCAGTTTAGTAGGAAAAAGCAATGGTAAATAATTAATGGTAATTATTTTCCATAATTACTATTAAAACTTCTGGATATACAGCATCCTCCGGATGCCTGCATGTATAATAGTTATGAAAGGATCATTCAAATTAAATTTATAGAGTGCAAATGCAGAATGCCTGCTGTTTGCATGTAAAACCCAATAATAAGTTGGAAGAGAGAAGTCTAACGGATATGTAGATATCCTCAAAACGTCCCATAAACATGAGCCCAAAAATTTGGAAGTACAAAGACAACCCTCATGAATGAGAGACATAGACTTCAAGGTTGCTCTAGTGACCAAATGGAAATACCAGGCAGAGTTAAAAGGGAGGGAGAAAAGGAGAAATATTCCAAATGCAAAACCGCTCATCCCTAAGCTTCTGATGCTTCCCTCCTCCCTCTGCATCCTTTTTCCAGTCCTCCTTCACCTCCATCTCTCCCCCCCTGCTGCCTTCAGAGAAACTGGCATAACTCAACCACCCCACACCCACCCAAAACCAACTCGATAATAAGGTGACAGCTGAAGAAAATGGCGTCTTTCAATTTGAGTCCCTCCAATCTCATTATATTGAGATAGGGAAGTTGCATGACTGCCTGTGAGGAGGCTTCAACAGGAGCCGGCGAGGCAGACGTGCATAGAGGGCAGAGAAAGTTAGGAGACAAGGCAGAGGAGGGAATCTAATCTAATCTAACCTAACTACTGAGCAAATAGCAGGAAGAGTTCATCAGAGTTTGAATACCGGTTAAAAAAATAATCATCTCAAGTTTTTAGAGTTAATTCAAATATTCAGCCGGGTCTGAGTCCAAACAGCTGAAAGAGCAAGATCAGCAAATATTCCCTCGAATGCAGTCCCTCGTCGTGCTGGCCGGCTTGCTAAGTAGCTTTAACCTGAATTGCAGAGGCATAAAGCTATTCTTAGAGCAACAAGGGGGCAGCCTGATCCCTAAAGGGGCTGCAGGTGCAACACAAATAATGCTTTAAAAAATCCTCATGGCAAAAGGGATTGTTTGTTATGTGAATTTGCAGCCAGAAGATTTTCAGCTTGGCATACTACTGTCTGAAAACAAGGTGAATTGAAAAAGTATTTTCTGCACCAATGTGGGAAAATATGAGCTCTGTTCCATCCACAAATACTCTGCAAAGTTCCCTGAAAATGTACTCATACCCCTTACATTTTTTTCTACACCTAAACTCAAATCTATTTTGGAAACTGAATGTGTTTTGCCATCACAACGTAACATAAATATGGAAAAAGAGTTAATTGGAAAACAGCGAACAAACCCAGAGATCAAGTGTCAGAATCGGTTTACAAGACAAGTGTTGGTCATGCACTTCACAAATATGGCTTTTATGGAAGAGTAGCGAGAAGAAAGTCATCGATTTATCTGTGATCCTGTTGTTTCGGTCTCTACCTAAAGCTTGAGTAGGACAGTACTCATCACTGTTCCTCATCCTTCACTCTCAGCTGCAAACTTTCCCAGCAAAATCTGGAGATGACAATCTGATGAAGCCAAAAGGATCACATTATCTGCAACAAGCAGAGACGCAATCCTCAACCCATAAAAGTCATGAACAGAATCAGTGACAAAGGGGAAAATTGTGCAACTCTCACCAAAACAGAGCCTGGCGATGCAGACCAAGTTCTGACACGGTCATCCAGGGCCCACAGGGATGCGGTCAAACACCTTCCTATGCTGAGCTGGTCCAGTGCTCCAGGACCAGGACGAAAACCACATGTTCTTCCTGAATCCGAGGTTTTACTATCCAACAGATCTTCCTCTCTAGAACCCCAAATAGACCTTACCAGTGAAGCTTAAGAATGCAATTCCCCTTTAGTTGGAACACATTCTCCAGACCCCCTTTTTGAGTCTCCTAAAACAGGAGAACTCTCTCTGATGTCAACATAATATTGCAGAGCCATGTCAATCAACACAACTCCACAAAATTCAGAGAAACTCTGGGTTCCTTGTGAACTTGCCACTGAGGAACCCAGTGCAACACAACAATGTCCAGTGGCAGCAACATAGTGAATGGCAGCA